CCCATTTATTCTTTGACTCTGAAAATTTAGGTTATATTCCTCCAAAATGTCAGGAAAATTCTACAAAACTACATGTCGTCATGTACCAAAAACTAGTACTCTTGAACTGGGTGTTTTTCTATGTCCCATAGACTTTTATATTTTAATATATCCAAATCTGCTTTATCAGACGGGACGCAGTGTAGTCTAGTGGATTGTTACCAGCATTTCAGTGAAATCTGCTGCCTCCGTGTTCAGGAAAGAAACGTAAGTAGTACTCCAAAAATGGAGGCATCAGCTTCCTTTCAAACGTTCATAAGGTCTTTCAGGTTACACGGAATCATATCCCAGAACAGAATATTTTTTATAATCGTTGCCATGAGAACCTGTAGTCTGACATCTGATATATCAGTCAAAATTTCAAATAGGAATTGTTAAATAATGATACAGTCTGTTTAGAAAAGTTATTCTCTCTTATTCCTACATGTAATATTCTGGCCATACATACATTCACCAACATCAGCTCCACCTGCACAAAAGCCAGTGAACTTCATCTGTATAAGCCTGTTGTTCAAAAGAAATAATGTTTTATGTAAAAATTAAATGAAAACAATGTAACAAGCAAGATATATTTATTGTGTTATAACTACATCTGTCTGCATTACAATTCATATTTTCTTTCATAATGCAGCTACTGTTACATACTTGTAAGGACCTTCATTTCACATTTAAATTTAAAATCTGATGATCTTAGGCATTTTTTAATTGTACTAAGTGATTTATATCTTCTAACAGTCTCAATAGTTTAATTTTAGGACAGCGTATAAAATTCGATGTATAATATTCTCAGAGGATATTTAGAATGGTTCTCAAAAACCAGATTAAACTATGAAATGCATCACATTATAATTATATTCTGATATTTTAATTTATGAACAAATGATTAAAAAAGTTTAGTAAGTGAATGAAAATATTTTCCCTCAAATACCTTATCTGTTCCATTTTTTCATATTTATTATAAAAGATTATACTTTACTTTCTCAATATTTTAACATAACTTCAAAAATTTATGATATCTATGTTCATATTTATGAATATAAATCTCAGTTACTGCTGTGGGCGTGTGTGTTATTGCTGTAATGTTGTGACACTATTGAAGAAACTAATTCTGCAAATGTATGAACACAAATTAAGTAAATGCCAATGTATTATTTATTTCAGTATTATGAACTGAAATATCTAACTTCAGTTTAGGTGTTAGGTTAAGTACTCCATATTTTAATATTGTTTTGATATCTTTCCTTAGCAGTACCAATGCTAGCACAAAATTTAGAAACATAAATAAGAATATAGCTGGTAAAGAACTTAATGGTCTAACAAGTAGGAAATGAGGACAAATCACCCGATCCCAAGCCAACACCAACTTATAAACTACAGTACAGGAAATGCAAAAAGTAAGTGACTGCAGTAATGTAGAAACAGGCATGTATGTTTACAAAAATGGATATAAGATCAAATATAATATAATTATTTTTACATTAAATGCGCCTGATTCTCCAGTTCCACTCTGGCAAAGAAAGACCATCATAAATTACAATCTGATCTAAAACATTAGTGTGTTAATAGTGCCGAGTAAATAAATGAAAAATCAGGTGCTAAAATATGCATAGTAGCCCATATACTCTATGCTAATCACATTAGAAACATTTAGAAATTATTCAGATACAAAAATCATTACATGAAACAGTTGGTCCCCAACAAACTTATCCTTCTTAGTACAATACAATTTCAGTCATATTATCAGAATTCATCAGATCATTGCACTGTATTTCATACAATCTGTTCAAAGGAGAGTTCAGAAATCATAAAGAAGATATTCAAACACAGCAGACTTTCATTTGGCCATGTACAGGTTATCTGCTTTGCAGATTTACCATGGGACCTTGAGAATTCCTTAAGTACTGATAACAGTTCCACCCAACGACATAACTATTGCCCATCACAAATGTTTCAGTAATATATATCAGTGACATTTATTTTTATGAGGGACATTCTGAACTGTCACACTTTCTAACATATTAATAAATATCAAGGTCAATCAAGTACAACAATTTAATACTCAATAAAGCCTTTACATATTTTGGCCACTATTGGCCTTCATCAGAAGGCAAAGCCAGCATTACAAAGGAAACACTTTACATTCATGAAAAACACATGTTGTTTTAAAGGGATTTTTACCATTGGAAACAGAGATAGATTAAAATACTAATGTAATTAAAATAAGTAAGAAAGTGACAGACAATATCAGTAACATTAATTGAAAGTTCTTATTGTTACATAAATTTGGTGATGGCCAATCAAGTTATTTGTACTGCTGGTATATCAAATCTCTTGTGTAGTGGCAGAAAGCTAATTTGTAATGTGTGTGCTGCAGAGAGGCATGGTGGTTGTTCGGACATGAACAACACGTCACACTGACCATGACAGCTCTCTGGAACAGTGGGGAGGAACAGTGAGACATGTCATATAACATGTATTGTATGACATGCCCCCCCCCAACAACTACAGCCCTGCAGAACAGTAGGATGTGTTGCCCAACACATCCCACTGACCATCAGGAAATTTCATATACCAAGAGTATAAAAATTAACTTACTTTAATTACATTAGTATTTTAATCTATCTTGATTTCCATTGGTAGAAATCCCTTTAAAACAACATTCCTTTGCCATACATGTGCTGCTGGCTTTGTCTTCTGATGAAGCTAACAGTGGTCAAAACATGTAAAGTTTTACTAATTATTAAACTAGATGGCTCTTGGTGCTTACTAAAATATCTATGACACTTTTACAATAATTTTAATAAACACTTCTTCTGCTGTTGCTACTCCCTATTACTTATTGCTTCTGGCACTGGCCTGCCACTGAACAATGATTTCTTCCTCTTCATTATATATATCTCATTGTTTAGTGACAAATAGCAAGGCGAATAAGGAATAATTAAGCGAATTTCAGGGTTGAATGCAGCACATATAGGTATATTTCAAGTTTATTTTAATTACCCACTGTTTTTGGTTATCCATGATACTCTCCTCCTCCGTAGCATTCACTGTATGCTGAATTGAACGTGAAACAGAGTCCCACAGCACTGTGACTTGATACTTTCATACCCAAAGGTGTAAATTGCACTTATATCATTTTAAATTAGTTATTCAGTTAATTAAATTAATTTTAATTAATTAAAGCCCATAATATTTAGGACATTTTTAACAATTCATGTCTCATCAGGGCACAAATGTCCATTTTGATGTTAAAGGAGACAGCTCTTAATTCTGAAGAAAGCAGTCTTCTGGGATTTGGCACCGTGTATATGTGGTGTTAACCGACGTTTCGGAGGAACGTATCGCCTCCGTCTTCAGGGTGTTAACCGACGTTTCGGAGGAACGTATCGCCTCCATCTTCAGGGTAAAAGCAGACTGCTTTTACCGGTTCTCACAATCTCTTCGCTTGTGGATTTCTTATATTTTTCCTTCTACCCTGAAGATGGAAGCGATACGTTCCTCCGAAACGTCGGTTAACACCACATATACACGGTGCCAAATCCCAGAAAACTGCTTTCTTCGTAGTCACCACCATGAAAGCCTCAAATCTCATATAGCTCTTAATTCTGTTTGCAAACATTTGTCCTTAAGAATGCTCAAATATCTTCTGTCCCCACCATCTTTCTTGGTGGACCAGCATTTAAACACATCAAGAAATTCCCTAAGCATGGTTCTTACTCTTAAGGAGGACAGTATAAACTCAAGAGAACAAATTTATTTTAGCAAAACAAATTAGACCAGAATAATAAAGCAAATGATGGTAGATGGCACCAGGGACTACTGAGTTTCTGCACTTTGTCCATTGTTCCTTCTTAAATGGTTGTTAGCCTACCAGATGATGGACAATATCCAAAAACCCAGTAATCCCGAGAGTAATTATGAGTTCACAGACCAATAAATACAATCCACATGCCACAAGATGCATCTACCTGTGATACTGGTTTCAGAAACAAATATTTCCTGTTTTGTACTATACGCAATTTCAGTTAAATAACACTTGTCAATTCTAAACATCTCACCACCTGCCTGGTGACAAACAATTTTGCAACAAACAGGGTAACTACAATTATCCCATTCTTGCTTATTATATACAGCCCCTTACATATCATGAATACTGTCCACAACTTTTTTCATTATGTTCCTCCTAAATATGTGCAATAATCAAGAACAGGATAATTAAATTTATTTTTCACCTTTTCAGGGTATTTTGAACGTAAATTGAATTTCAGGATGACGTATGTATTTATACAACCTGAATCTAATTCTCCTATGTGATGATAACAGAGTTCATGATTAATACAAATTATTCATCTATCAGTTTTAAAATATTGTGTGTGCCTGCACTTAATTCTGTCTCCAATTTATATGACTGCAATTTAACATAGCAAATTGCTACATTTCTGAAACAATCAGACAGAACATATCATAATCTAGGTTATGATGATGATGAATATTTAATATACAGAGCAGTGTACATAAAATTTTTTATATCCATATACCATATTTTTATTGCACAACTGTCAAAGACATTTGTTTCCTGTAAAAATTTGGAAGTACAAGTAACTTCTCATAAGAGCCTGCAAAAGGACATGCCTATTTATTGCCTGGTATTCCTAAAGCTGATACAACATTCCCATTGTGACTCATGCTGGAAAACATTCATTCCAGGGAATATAATTCCTGAAATATAAGTAAATTTGTAAAAGAAATTATTATTTAATAAAAATAATTATTTTTCTGCAATAAGAGTTTGCATCAGACATTCAAGCAGACTTAAATTCAGTTAAAAATTCAGATTGAAATATACTGCATGTGGGGATTCCAAGAAGGAGAGCACATGTTTTCCATTTTGTATAAGATTTTACCCAAATTGTTCATCTCTTACTGCAATGTTCTTGCATTTTATATTCATAATTTATGTCTATCATTAATACTTTTAATCATAGGTATGAAATGCACAAATACAATACTATCCAAAGTAATATGCTCATTTTATGTCTATAAAATCTAATATTGTTATATTCTGTGATTTCTTATTTTTTATTATTGGCAGTATGAAGATATAAATCTTCCTCTGTTCATTATAAAAATGGTTATCACAGCATTTAGTTGTATTATATAATAAACAGGTAAAAATAATTATAAAAATAAAGTCTATACAATAATATTAATGTAAAATATTATTTATGTTAAAAGTTAGTGTTTCATTGCTTTAATTGTAAATATACAAAGGAGTGCGTGTTATCAGCAAAGGCACTGCAACACAATATTGCCCTAGTCAGTCTGTTAGCCCACATACCTATATTAATAGCAAAAGCAATTCACTTGCAATCAAATATTTTCGGTACTTCTTTCCATTAATTATTCAATTATGTGTCAGTACACCAAATAACTTTCCAGTACTCAGTTCAACAATCAAGTCCTTGTGGGTGACAAAGAATTGCACTTTCATGTATAACATAACCTCTATTTCCCTAACCCACCAAGAGATTTCACACCTCTTTTGGCACATGAATAAGTTGGCCTGTACAATTATTGCAACAGCCTTGTAGGTGCAAAGTGAAAGGACACCATATATCTACTTTCGGTTATTAGTAGAATTTCAATTATGACACAGGTATAATAAGAAGTGTACAAGTTTGATAATGTCCATCATTTTACTAACTTCTCATCATTGCTGAAGGCATTATTATATTCTTCTAAATAATCGAAATCTACAAATTTTACAAAGCCCCACACTCAATTCCAAGAAAATCACTCTGGTATCTGGTGGCCAAAGTGGCAATAAGACAGATTTTACTCCAAGTACTTTGGCCTACACCTATTAATAGTCATTCAACAAATGATCTGTATGTGTTTATCTTTCATCATCATGAGCTTGTATAATAGGATCATTTAAGGACACAGTGCATCAATCTTGTTCCCCGCTATCATTATTATTAATATAAGAAGTTCTAAGATATTGAGTTTTACAAAGAAACCTAACAAGTTTTGTGTCTTCCATTAATGAATGTGGGTATTTAACTGAATAATATGCATTATGATCCTTCCCATGACATTGCAGCCTAACACTACACATTTTTACTTCCTGTGTCTAAGGCTTTCTGTTCAGCACGAAGATCACTTGAAGCTTGCCTCACTGTCTGCATCCCCAAACCACCCCTGATGCTGATAGCTCTCTCTCATTGTGGTAGTGGTCATAGAGTACAGAACTTGAGTGCCAGGAGCCGGGATACTAGATGGCTGATGCTGGCTCACACTGCTCATTGCTGTGGATGTGCGGCTGCGGGCAGATCTTGGGGAGTGTTCAGGGCTGCTCAAGTCTCCGGCATCCCAGTGTCGCCGTCCAGGAGCAACCCAATGCTCAGTAAACTCAGAAGCAGATCTTGCAAGAGAAGGTTGACTTACAGACCGAACCAAGCTCCCAGTCTCCACTCCTCTTCCTCCATAATCTTCATCTTCAGATGCTATTCCATGTACTCCACCCATCAACAGCAAATCATCATCATCATAGAATCGCCGAGGACCTCCTGGCCCTGGACGGTAATATGAACTTGGCCCACTGGCATCACTCAAGGTATCTGCAGCATCAGGACGAGCGAAGTCAACCATGACTTCCGTCATGGAACGGACATCCATATCTGAACGAAGACTGGACCGCGAAGTTCTGCGAGATCTTGGTATTGGGTCAATGCCAGTTGAACCTGAAGTTCCAGGGGGTGGAACAACATCAGGGACAAGGGTTCGCACAGATGACCCACCATCGGAGTCATATTCATACAGAGTGGGGAGTGAGCTTCTTCGACTCCTTGTATCCCAGTCACTCTTACGCCTGTAGCGGGAATTGGAGGGCCCTCCACGCTGGTCAAAAGATGGCTTATCATGCGGGGAAAGAATACGAATAATTACATCCCATTTCTTCGGCTCAAAAAGTTTCTCGTATCGTTGATCCTTTCGGATTCTTTCATAGTCTTCATGTACTGTGGCTTCTGTGAGTAGGGTTCTTAGAGTTGATTCTGTGGTGATGATCTGACGCCACTTGGCACGGTCTTCAGTCGTGAGAACAGCTTCTTCTGTGAAAACCTCACTGGATGTTCCTTGGGGCTGAAGTTCTTCTGTCGGTGGTGGATTTAGAACTCTTATCAGCACATCCCAATTAGGAATGGGCGGGTCTTGTGGTGGTACTTCAAGGGTGCTCAGATAGCTGCGTTCAATGTCCACTTGTGCATGATGTTGCTCAACAGTGGGTGTTGTGGGGTAGCCAGATATGGATGATGATTCAGAGAAACTCTCCCAGTCTGGACCAGGCTCACTGCCCTGCGTAGCTTCTTGAGCATTGGGTGCTGGGTAGTTTCGGATAACTACATCCCATTTTGGTGGCTGAGGCCTTGCATGGTACTCAGTCACTTGCCTTCTATGCCGCTCAATGTCTTCAATTGTGCGTTTCTCAGTGATAGTCCTCAGGAATACGTCATCCACAACATGAGATGTGATCTCAGGCCGACGAGACACAACCACTGGTGGCTCCAGAAGCTCAGCTGTGTTGACCTGATAATCGGTCTCACTGGTATAATGTGTAGATGGTACAATTGGTGGCGGGGGTGGAGGAGGTGGTGCAATGGTGGTAGTTGCAGGAGCATATCGTTTGTGGGAGCTGTCAACTATCTCAGACATTGACCGCGTGTCCGTCATCTCCGTATTGAGGCTTGTTAAAGAGCGTGCCGAGGTAATGGACATGCGTCTGTGAGGAGCATCAATGAAATCTTCTCCCTGGGACCAGTTGTCATTATCTGGAATGGATCTCTGTGACAGTGTCTCTGCTGTCTCACGGGTCTGAAGCTGTTCCTGTTGACGGCGCAAGATGCGGGAATAAACAGGAGGCGTCTGGGCATACTTGGCAGGAGGAGGCGGTGGGTGCAACTCCGGAACATAAGTGAAGGTTGTGGCAGGTGGCTTGGGAACGTCTTCCAATGATCGCTGTATCTCTTCCCTTTCCAAAATGGTTGTGAGATTCCTGGCCTGTGTGCTCATTGTGCTCTCAGAATCAGAAGGGGTTGGTGTAGGTGTTGGTGGGGGTGGAGGAGCTCTCTTAACCCGGACCGAGACATCAAACTTGGGTTCCGGTGGAGGTGCAACAACAGCAATGGGAGGTTTTGGTACTACACTTACTACAGCTGTTTCTGTATGTTGGCCATACTCTTCAGAATAGAAGCTAGACATCGCTTCTTGATGCACAAACGCCTTGTTGTCATATGATCCTGCTGAACTGACAGTACTTGGCCGACGCAAACTGCGGGTGTCCACATCTTCCACCTCAGAGTGGGCTGAGCTGGGAGACTCGGATGGGTAGTCACTGGGCAAGGTGTCTGAATGTTCACCGGGTATAATGAGGGCTGCCTCAGAACCTGAGGAACTGCCAGTTGCTGTGGCTGCAGCGTGTGCCCGAGGAATCTTGAGCCCCTCAAACATAGAAATGTTACCCAGGCTGGAACCAGAGAGTTTAGTGATCTCGGAGCCAGTGCCTGCGGAAGAGAAGGGATGCCTCCTGACTACTGTAAATCTCCGCTTCTTGAGGCAGATGTATGAGCACCCAAGACCCAGCAGCAGCAGTGAGAGGAACAAGATGGCACAGATGATAAGCAGAATGTGGAACCCTTTCAGTGGTGGTTCTACTGGAGATACTGGCGGCACAGGTTCCAAACTGAAAATTTATATAGAAAACCTGAGATTTCATTTTTAGTTCAGTTAATATGAAGGGGGACCCAAAAATAACTGGAAACGACCTGTTGCGCGCGCATGCTTTGTAGTTACGAGTTGTGCTGCTAGGTGGTGTTAGCTGGGGGTCTCCCGCGACTGTTAGTGAGCTGGCGTCAGTCTGAGTTAAGTGGTTTGTCTGTGGTTCTCTGTTGTGTGCGTTCCTGTTTCAACCCTTTGGCGATTAGTGAGATGGCCGACCAGAAGGAACAAAGAGTGTGCGTGAAATTTTGCTTTCTGTTAGGGAAAACTGCACTTCACTCTTCAAGTCGCGGCAAACATTCACGCGGTTTTCTCTTTGGTCATCTCCGAGCAAGCGAGGAACAAACTTTGCAGACACCCGTCTCATGTGCAAACCTTCGGTTAAAATTCTCTGGACCGTGCTCCATGAGATGTTCGTTTCCTCAGAAAGTTGGTCAATGGTCTTCCGACGATCTTCATCAATTTCACGCACACTCTTTGTTCCTTCTGGTCGCCATCTCACTAATCGCCAAAGGGTTGAAACAGGAACACACACAACAGAGCACCACAGACAAACCACTTAACTCAGACTGACACCAGCTCACTAACAGTCGCGGGAGACCCCCAGCTAACACCACCTAGCAGCACAACTCGTAACTACAAAGCATGCGCGTGCAACAGGTCGTTTCTGGTTATTTTTGGGTCCCCCCTCGTATTGCTGCAAGATTCCATTAAGACTGTATTTTGTATATTTCAAAGTTAATAGTTTCTAATATAAACTACTTTCTTCTGAATTCTATGTATGTATGTATGTATGTATGTGGTTTTTCATGTCTCATTTTCCAGTACAAAATGTTTAAAATAACTTGAGATGTACTAGAACGAGTTTACTTCAATTTTTGTCTTGGGTGCTTCTGAATTCTCTGTTATTTGTCATCACAATATTTAGCAAAGTACTGAAAATAATATTTTTCCCTAACATAAAGTCAAATTTCCTAAAATCATTGGAAAAAGGGAATTGGGAATAATTCCTTTGGTGCTTCGCTTTCTTTTTCAAAAAGGGGCTGATATTAGAAGAAAAGATGCACGCCAGGTTTTACAACAAGTCAAGGAATACTTTTATAAATGTCTGAATGCACTTTTACCATTGTCCTCATTTCATAATTCTACAATCAAAAATAAAAGAACCGCTTTATATATTCAAGCCAACAACTTGACATGATGAGTACAGTACACACATTCGTTCACAGCTCTCCCATGCAACTATGTAACTGCAACAAAATAGCTTATGAACTGAAGCCTGGGTTTGGAAGAATGTATTACAAAGTGAAATTTGGTGATACACTTATTGCTTCAGTTCAGTATATTTTGTAACCTAATTTCCATAGAAGATAGTACAGTTTTATACCATCAACATAATTACAATGGAAGAAAGCAGTCTTCTGGGATGTGGCACCGTGTAGATGTGGTGCAGACTGGTCTGCTTGTACTGGTTCTCACAGTCCCTTCACTTGCGGATTTTCTTATTTTTCCTTCTACCCTTAAGGTGGAGTCGATACATTCCTCCGAAACATCGGTTAACACCACATCTACACGGTGCCACATCCCAGAAGACTGCTTTGTTCACAGTCACCGCCATGAAAACCTCAAATCTTACATAATTACAATTGTTGCCACTACTTGTAAGACAATAACAATCATATTATTGTTAAAATTATATGATATGAAGAAATGTAAACACTCACCTGCATACCACACAACTTAAAATCATCTCTTAAAATAAGTGTAACAAAATCTGTGATTTGAAATACCTATTTCAAAAAAGAAATGGAAAGTGAAAATTAGAGAAGCCTTTATGTTATTCAGTAATATGTTGTTACAATCTTTTAACAAAGAAAAGGTACAGAAAACGTTTAAAAGCTTTAGTGAAATACAATATGGAACTTGGTAGCTAGATAGACACAAACATTTCAGAATGCATGCAATTCAGATTACAAACTACCAGAGTGAGTATACAGGAAGATGCATAATCATGCCTGGTTACATCACAGAAAGAGGTTATACAGCATACTGTTAACAGACGAGTATACACGTGACAGGCAACCTAAGCAACAGATGAGTGTCCTACTTTATGAAACTTACATATAGTGACGAAATCATGCTCTGATATCAGTCATGAAATGTTATCTGGCCCATATTTATCTGAATTTTATATCCAGTAAATATTTGTAAAATAATGTTCAGAATATTTAATGGGTGTACTGCAGGATAATTAGTTCCTAAACGCTTGTGATGGTAGTTGATTCATTACAGTATTATTATGTCATCATCCCCCCCCCCAGCCTCTGAATTGTTTTTAAATGGTTCACTGTACAGAAACCTGGTACATGGCAGAAAATACAGATATTCTGTATTAAATTTCTACTGTGATTTAGCTTGCAGTGACACTTTTCTGAGTGCAATAACAGACTTGTATCATAAAGGTAAACAAGCTATGCACCATTCCTACTCTTGCCTGCTATCCTAGGGTTCACACAGCCGTCATCAGGCATAGTTACTCATACTAAAATTGTTGCACTGTGACTCCAATTTAGTCGCATGTGCAATGCATAGTCACTTTCAGTAAGCTGGTACCTGGCGACTGCCAGCAGCACGCGTTGCCAACTGTGCGTAATAACTGTGTTGATATGTTTGGCAGGAATGTAATATCTTTTAAGGAAAGTGGTGCGCGTGTGTTGCTATCTGATGTAGAGTTTGTATAGTGTTTCGAATATGGAGTTACATATCTATGTGTGTGTGTGTGTGTGTGTGTGTGTGTTTATGCGCTATTGTGTTCCTTGTGTTTACAGTACATTTCCTCACTATATATTCCAATATACAGAGAATGGATAAGGAGCGTATCCCAAAGAAAATATTATACAGTACAATAGGTGGTAGGAGACGTGCTGGGAAACCAAGAACTAGATGGATTGATGCGGCGGAAGAAGATGCAAAGAAGTTAATGGGCATAAGGAAGAGAGCAGCGCAGGATAGAGAGGAATGGGGGGGCTTGATAAGGGAGGCCAAGGCCCGACATTGGACTGTTGCGCCATAGAAGAAGAAGAAGAAGAAGAAGAAGAAGAAGAAGGAGGAGGAGGAGGAGGAGAATAAGTGTGTGCGTGCGTGTGTGTGTGTGTTTTATGAATGTAGGGTTTTTTCTAGCATGTTTAAGTGTTTGTCTTTTTTGTCTTTTTTTATCCTTATTTTATTATGTCCATGGTGTCCATAATGGTTCCATGGGTATGTCCTGTCCTGGAAGTATAGTTTTTAAGTTGGTTATTTAAATACACTCTCAGTGATGAGACTACATAGCACAGATGACAGGACAATTAATAAGCATGGAGCTGTTGGTAAAATGAGAGGTGGTAGGGGAAACAGAAGCACTAGGAGAAAACCTGCCCAAGTGCCACATTGTTCACCAACATCCCCACATGACGTGACCTGGGATCGAACTCAGGCTGCTACGGTGAGAAGCCGGAAGATTGTGCCCATGGAGAGGTGCAAGAGAACGTTAATGGTTAGTAGCAGCTTACATGAAGCTGGGGAGTCCAGCAGGTATCGAGGCTACAGGTGGAGGATATCTGCACACCACTGTGATCACTTCATCACCCTCCATCTCGAGGCCCGGGTGGAAGCGAACCACGATGTTGTTAGTGAACACACGGGTGAGGTCCTACAAGAACACAACTATTAGTGAGGGAAAGCACTCACATGGGGAGGGGCGCCAGTGGTGGGGGTGCCACCGGGGGAGGGTAGCGACAGACGATGGTGATTATCTCATCACCCTCCATCTCAAGTCCAGGGTGGAACCGGACCACTACGTTGTTCGTGAAGACCCTCTGGGGATCCTGCTGAAACAGAGCAAAGTGTCAGTCCACAGTAGACAGGCCCGCCGAGAGGCGTTCCCTCCTCGCTGCCCCACCGACGAGGACCTTAAACTGTGACGAATATGTCGTATCGTATCGTGGTGTTACTCAACGGCTTCCAGCATCGAGAATATTAGTGTCTGGCGGTAATTTGGAAGGAAACGGACGTGGCCTAGACGATGTTCTTTCCAGGCACTTGCCTGGAGGACCTGAGGAAAACCACGAATCCTCAGAAGTGATAGATGGTTTCCCGGCCGAGATTCGAACCCAACACCTCCTTACTACAAGTCTAGAGCGTTAAGCCAAGACAAGCCTCTTCGGTGTCATATTACACCATGGTCTAGGCATATAATAATAATAATAATTTCTTTATTTAGGCGCTTGCCAGCAGCGAGTGGCCTATAACAAGTAAGCACTGAGAGTGTACGTAACAAAAGCTAGATTAAGGCTAGACACAGAATTAGACTAAAATGTAATCCTAGACAATAAAATCCTTTATTAGCTTCCTTGACTGCAGAGAATTCAGCAAAGTAACTATCTGGGTGCTGGGGTTGGATTCACGGCGCGAGCTAGGACTTTCACGTCGAGTTTTAAAATGTTTGGATATTTATCTTCGCATTCTGCTTAGACACAAGAGACAAACCTGAGTTTACGTATCAGGGAACTCAGACTTACGGTATCTTGTATGAGCGGTGTTTTGTTCTAGTGCCTATCCTCATTCATAACACGCCATTGTTTTCCGAACGTGTTTCCACTTCGCCATTTGCTACTGTTGCGCACGTAGATTGCTGCAAAATCTGGCTATCGCTTGGAATCTCTTTACGCAGATGAAAGAAAACAAACGCAGCTGTCAGCAGGTAAACGACAGACATAACTAACTTGCATCTGAGACACTCGGAATCAAGATAAAGGTATTTGCTGTCTGTCTGCAAGAACCTCAGACGGAGACCTCAAATGGTATAGAAGTAAAACGCCACTGTTTTTGCGCACGCAACGGTCACTTTCATTTCCGCTTCCAGAAATTGGGTGCGTATTATGTTCGGGTAAATACGGCTTATTTTCCTTAACATAAACCATACATCCACTAAGTAAATGTAGGAAACGAGAGAACATTGAATCAAAGCAAATTTATATCTCAATTTTGTTACTTGCAAGGTTACATGAAATAGCCTCCTGGAATTATGATTTAGTAAGGGAAAATTGTATAGAAATATCTCTTGTGCACACCGTGAAACAAGTCGCTACTATATTTGGAAGAAACTAAGTGGATTTTTAAGAACTATCTACAACTTGAACCTTCAAAACGTAGTCCTACGTAAGTACGGAATTCTTCGTTACTGGTCATGTAGCGTGGAACACTATGACTGCTCATAACGGAATCTGTTTTCTGCGCTATATTACGCATGCGTGTTTGGTGACAGGCCTGGATAGGTTCATCTGCCTCCCTTCACTTCCAACACCTTGCAAAATGGTTAAATATTTTACTGAAAATGGGTACGCGTTAGCGTAGTTAGTTGAGGCACTATGCTACAAGCCAGAAATTCACGGGATTGATTCCCGATCAGTTTATTGGATGTAGGAACCTCGACGTCTCACATCCCTATGGGCCTCCATGGCCTCTTACAGGGATAGCTTTACTTTTTTTTTTTTTTGCCTTTTAATGAAAACAGACTTCATAAAAAGAAACAGGCCAGTGGGCAAGGACACAGCCACTTACTCCAAAACACTTTCGAATTAATTATGCACCAATCATTCTACCATTCAACGCTATACAGTCCGAGATACTGAAAACATCGTAAAAGAGTGCACAAAAAACATGCCATGTCATGTCACGGAAGGCCACTGTCGAGAGGACCTCACACTTCATACAGCAAGAGCGACGTGCTCGGAACAAGGGCTTATCAAGGAATCCACGGAGGCATGGGAGCGTCATATAATGAAAGAACCCCTGTATGTCTGGAGCCCCCAGCCGAGTGTCTCTGATGCTGCGTATTGAAATGAAATCCTTGAGACCTGGAACACGGACACGCCAACACACGAAACGTCTTCGCTCCCAGACTACGTGTTCATATAATTGTGCTTAATTTCAGATGCGATGACTCACAAACTATGTATGTGCCTCTTCCTACTGGGAGGTGACATCAACAAGTGAACCGGTTCAAACCCCAACCTCCCGTGTCACGCGGCTTCTAGCACACCTAAATGGCGTCAGAGGGGCAACTCGGTATACTTCGTTTAAAGATATTCATTCACTTACCAGTTGTCATTTCAGTCTGAGACAGACATGAAGAAAATGGAAAAGTTCTGGGAAGAACTTACGGCACTTACTGCCTACTCCACCAGCCCCGGATGGTGATCGTGGTGGTTACGGAGCAGTCTGTGAAATGAGAATTGGCAAGGGAACCGAAATCTACTTTAGTGACAATTTGTCCACCACAAATCCCACATGACGTGAAATGGAATCGAACCCTGGCCGCCGCCGTGGGAAGCCAACCTATGGCACGGCCTAACAATCTCCATGATTAAGCTAGAATGACATAAAATGTTTCATTTCCACTGAAATGAATACCTCTGAATAAATATAACGAACTCAACTCCATTACAGCTCAGAGGAACCCTAACGCGATGCTCGCAGCGTCTGAGGACAACCCAGACAAGAACACGACAATGTCTGAGAACCCACCTGCTTGGTGCCGCATCCCTTCAACGGCAGCTCCAAAGTATAGCTGATCTCCCCTTTGCCAACAACTTGGCAAGCGCTGTTGCGGTCGAAATCTGCGTAGGCGATGCCGAAGAAGGGTTCGTTGAACTTGAGCTCCACTTGCATGGAGCCCGCCCCGCAGTTCAGAGTCCCCTTCGTTCTGTTCAAGAATATGACGGACGATAAGTCATCCAGTTTTGTGACCTTCCCATCCAGCGTGGCCGAGTCCGGCAGCCCTTCGCCGATATACGCCACATCATTGGCTTGGCTTGCGTAGTTCGACTGGCCCACGGCGTCTGGAGGGGCCAGGCACAGCAGCGCCGCCGTCGCGACGACGAGCGTCCACCTCAGCAGCATCTGAGACACGGGAAACAAAGTCTTAGTCATTTCAGGGGCACCCTTATCTCCTTAAGTACACATACATTTTTGTTCTTCCTGCAGTTCCACATATTTCGACAAAGTTTGGGATCATCATGTAAGACATCCTTGGGGAAGTTTTGGACAATTGAAAACCCGAAATTTCTTAGTTTTAGTGCCCTCACAAACCTTGTAGATCATGTTGTTCTTGTTGTTTACCGCTCGAGAAAATTCGTCCTAGAATCATGAGTCCCCCCGCCCCCAGGTAGAGCAAAGAAAAACCTCAACGTCAGAAAACTCTCGCTCACCCTATATGCATATGTCACGCTTTATGAGATATTTAAGTTTCAATTTTGCTAAAATAACGGAATTCTTAAATTTGGGGGGGATTTACAATTTACTTTAGAAGAATACCATTATCTTCCACAAATTATATGCTACCAAATAAAAGAACACCGTTAAAACATCAGTGCGTGATGAGAAATAGTTTAATATAATTAAACATTCGAAAAATTACTGAATAACATCTATAAAAGAGGTAGGTTCGTAGCACTGCACTCGCATTGTTTAGCCGAATATTTTTCATTCATTCATTCGTCAATGACTCTACAGCCCGTTTCGGGGCCCTGGTCACTTTTCAGTTCCTTCATCCTACACACAGTCGGTAGGACTCTTTGGATGGAGGATCAGCCAGTCGCAAGGCCTCCACCTACACACAAGACAACACGAACACAGAATAAACGGACACAGACATCCATGCCTCGAGTGGGATTCGAACCCACTACTCCACCGTTCGAGCGGGCGAAGAGACAGTTCATGCCTCAGACAGCGCGGTCACGGTAACTGACAATTACACGTGTTACATAGTTAATTTTCTTACAGTTCTATAACATAAATTTAAAATCAGGAATATCAACTTCAGAACTTTCCAGTGTACTGCATTTCATAACTATATATGTACATTACGACCGGCCACGGCCCAGTCAATCAGATTCTCCATATTCAAGATCTCAAAGAAGTGAATTTGGTAGTATAGACTATTTCATAACGAAAAATATAACTGAAAATGCAGTAATCTGTTTCTGGCTCGTTGGTTGCAAGTTCCTTCGGTACGTCAGCGAAATTCTACCGGACTACACGACGTCACACTCCAGAGGACAGTAGTCTTCGAGTGTTGGTTCCACTTGGCATTTCCACAGCGCGTGTTGCAATGTTAGACGCCTTTTAAGGAAGAACTGCTCTGCGCTCCACGGACTTCGTCCTTGGGCGTTCTTTCTGCATACATTACCGCCTCCGTGAAAGGCTGTGCGGTGGGCATGAAAAACCCGTTGGTTTTCATTTTATATTTTTATTACACATGCAAATTAGCGTCTCTTTAATTTGTGAGTGCCGTGTGGTGTCCTTGGGCTGCGGGTTACAAAGATGAGTGTGTGTGTCCGTGTGGGTCTCACAAAGAACGGTTCTCTACAGGTCCCGGACATGTCTCTGTCAAGTATCACCCTAACACGGACAAGTGTAGAACAAGCACCTTCTGTTCTACAAGTGAAAAACTGAGGCCGTCATAACACTGCTATATCCATCTGCTATGTTTTCCTTGTCACCATATGCAGCACGCGTGGGACAAGACAAAAATGCACTGAAACTTTTGGTACGGAAATCTGAACGAAAGAGGCAACTCGGAAGACCTTGGACTAGATGAACTAAGAGGTAAAAAATGTAACGCTATCCTTGTGACAGACCGTAGAGGCTCAATAGGGTTGTGAGACGTCGAAGCTCCCAAATTTTCTAGGCTCACAGATGACAGTGAGGTTATCAGCCTTACTTACCGGCCGGCCTTTACCCCTAGGAAGATTCCTGGTACTCATTTCTGTTAGAGGCTGAGTCGAGTCCAGGGCCACAGTGCGGCTGGAAGGTTTAGGTCAACTGAAAATTCCAATTACCTCGTCGGGAATCGAAACCGCGACCTTCCGGCTTGCAGCATAGAGATGGATTAAACAGAATCTTAAATGAATACGATGGTCAGGTATGGACTACACACCTTCCCGTTGCTGATCTCGTCTGCGGCGCTGGTGTCGTGTGTTTGCTTACCGACGCTGTTAGTATCTCAGGGTACACAGCGTCCAATGGTCGATCATGGCTTGGAATGGATGTGGAAGGAAGTGACTTCTGTCTAGTTCGTGATATTAGCCCGGTATTCGCCTGAAGGGAGTGGATAAAACCACGAAAAACTTCAGTCAGGATAGTCGGTGTCCTGGCTGAGCTTCGAACCCGGAATATTCCGAACACAACTCAGAATCATTATCTCTACTACCAGTTCGGATCAGAGGTGGAATCAGTCTCCAACATTCGAAGATCCCTACTGCATCCCTCTTCAAGGCTAAGTGGACTTCCATCGTAAGACGTCCAACACAGCCAATAACGCCATAAAATGATACGTCCTTATAAAAGTGCCAACCCTGAGAATATAAATATAAACTCCCTTTCAGAAAGATCTCACTGACGCTGAAGTTTCCCTCTACCTGAACAACAAACGCCGTGGTTCTAGTCCGCAAGCTAACTATACCGACCGAGCGACCGCCGCTTGTCGGCGAAGTCAGTACCAACTTTAGCGGATAGAGGGTGTTGCGTGGTCAGGTAACGAATCCCCACGGTTTCCCCACGAATTTCGGTTTTGTAGACCAGTCCCTCTACCTCAACCGCCCAAAAAACAGGATGAACACCAAATAGCAGGCCATGAAGCCCTGACATTATCGACACCTGCCAAAATATGCAGGAGTCAGCTTGCCACTGCAGTCCTCTCGAATGTCCTCATAATCAGCCACAACAGTCCCTCCGTCAAAATCGTGAAGGGCGAGCGATTCGCGTCTGGATGCAAAAATGGCGAGGATACGGGATTCGCTTGTTTCTTTTCTGATGAAGTAATGGTTGATTTCATAGTTCAGATCGTCGCTTGATCAACTGGTACGTACCAAAGCAGCCAAGAACTCTCTGCTTTTATGAAACCAAAAGAACGTCGACTGAACATATCTGGGAACAGGGCGACTGGGAGAATGTTTCCACCGGAAACGGAAGAAGCTTCTGGAAGCTGAAGACAATACATGACTTGTACCCTTCTCCAAACACCATTAGAATGAACGTATAGATGAGGATGATATAGGCGGGGCATGTAGCACGAATAGGAGAGATAAGAAATTCAAGCATAATATAAGTCGGAAGCATTCAGTGAAATAGAAAGCTTCGAAGACCTAGACGTAGATGGTACTATAATATTAAAATAATTTTAAAGAAATATAATTGGAAAACGTGGGCTGTATTCAGCTGGCTGAGGATAGCAACCATAAGTTGACACTTCTGAACACGGGTGGTATAAAAGACAAGGAGCTCTTTTAACTAGGTGAGCCACTATTAGCTTCCCAAGAAAGACGGTCCTTCTATGCAGTAAGTCGGCTTGATACGGAACTGAGACACGTACCGACGCGTTCACAGAGACCCTACCCAGAGCCATTTTCTAATTTCACACCATACATCTCTACCTAACTTCATGGAGCTGAGCCCTTCTTGAGAAGCCGCCAATTGTACAGCTATTCAAGAACTTCACAATATTTTATAGAACCCGATGGTTCATTACCGTGTTCACAAGAGCCCTGCACTGGTCCATATCCTGAGACACATCAATCCAGTCCATACCAGCCCATCCTGTCTCTCTGATCCACTTTAATATCATCAAACCACCTACGTGTTGGTGTTCCTAGTGGTCTTTTTCTTTCCGGCTTTCCCGATATCCTATATGCATTCCTCTTCTTCCCCATTCTTGCTACATGCCCTGTCCATTTCATCATCTTTGACTTCATCATTCTATTTGAAGAAGGGTACAAGTTATGAAGCTCCTCATTATGCAGTTTCCTCCAACCCAACCCCGCGTCGCTCCAACCGTATTTCTCCAAGACCTATATTATTATTATGCCATCTACTTCTAGGTACACCAAGTAGTCTCTTCGTCGGATAGACGATAAGAGGGCCTTCCACTCTTCTGCCACTGCTGCACGGTATTTCCAGGGCGTGAACATTCCTGGCCTTTGGGCTGCTAATTGTCGCAAATTTTTGCAGAACACGGCAGTGACATGTTCCTATACAGAACACGGTCGTGGCGTGGGTCAGGCTCCTAATAAATACTGGGAGGTTCTCGGGTTCGAATCTCTGGCTGCGACACCTGCTATCCGGACTAAAATCTTCGTGACTTTCCTCAGGCCCTCCATGCGAATGTGATGTTGTTGTCATTATTTCTTCTATAAGGATGTTGCTTTGAGGTGTAGGTAAGTAAAAGAGCTAAGTCTTTTGGTAGTTGCAGAAGAATCGGTTGACTTTACTGAGTTCCAAGATTACAGTCGAAGAATAAAGAATGAAGGAAGGACACGGAGTCCAAGTGATGATTATGAAAGTGACGTGTCGGTTGACTATACCAATGTCACTCTCCCTTGGCCACACCACCTCACATACATGTACGGTAAAACTTGGTTATAGCAACATCGGTTTCTGCGACACCTTGTCTATTGCGTCAAATATTCAATGGTACGAACTAATTCCTCATAAAGCAACTGTTTTTATACCTTGCTTAGTACGACATGCACAAATGCATCAACCTCGTATGTAACGTCATTTTCATTCCCGAATTTCTCTGATATGGACATTGAACGTAATTTAGAAAGTGTGTATTGGGCAAGTAACAGGAAACAGATGAAGATAACTGATTACTGTACTCGTATCTAGGTACAGTAAGGCACAACAATTGATGTAATCTACTGTAATTTGGTGAGTAGGCCTACCTTTAATATACAGTATTAGTGCGGTGTGTATTGTCAGTGAAAAGCGCTGTAATATGTCTTTGATATTACACATTTGGGCAATTCCATGTTAATGTTACGTTAGTCTGTACTTAACTACGTATTTCACTAAAAATGCAACATTTTAACTCGGTTTTTGGTAGATTTTTAAGTGACTAA